GCGCCTCCATTGTTCAGGGGAACAGCTGTTAGTCAATGCCAGACATGACACAAATCCACGATAGTCCATGGGCCACACTCGCACCTACCACTACCACTTCCACTACCACTACCACTACCACTACTTCTACTACTACTACGACTACTACTACTACTACTACTACTACTACTACTACTACTACTACTACTACTACTACTACTAACGACTACGACTACGACTACGACTACGACTACGACTACGACTACGACTACGACTACTACTTAAACAACACCCACCAACAAACCCACCAACAAACCCACCAACCAACCCAACCAAACCAACCCAACCAAACCAACCAACTCACCAGGCCCACCTGCCAACCGATCAACCAACCGCAACCATAGGCAACCAAACGCAACAAAACACGACCAAACGCAACCAAAAGCAACGTTCAATCCGCCATGGTCACATGATGACCATGTGGCTGTGGATCAAAATTGCACCACCAGGTGACCGCGGATTTGAGTCCTGGCTTCCATTTTACGAGGGCAACCCATTTCGGGTACCTATTTTTGACAACCACGCCCATGTCTCTCAAGAAAACCGGTGGGGGAAGCCACTAAAAACCAAACTTTTTGCAGGGCTTCGGCGTCTTCGGGAGGTTTCCCTAGATTATCTGGAGTTTTCCCTGCGTCGCTTTGGAGGGGATTCGAGGTTTCCCTAGATGTTCCGGAGGTTTCCCCGGCAGCGTGTCACGGCGCTCGCTCGCGCCTCCCAGTGGTTTCACGCCGTTTGTGCTCCTGGTGTTTCTAGTGATCGACTATCTTAAATACCCCAGGCAATACGGCGCAACCTACCAAGCAAACAGCCAAACGACCAACTCGACTCAACAACCAGCTCAACAACTTGCTCGACAACTCAATTACAAACATCAGTGCGCAAAAAGGCCTCACCAACCACACAGCCACAAAAACACAGACAGTGCCTCAGGCAATGGGACTTTTCTTCGTGACGTGCACTGCCCAGAAGTACGCCGCTGGTGTTGGAAGGGCGTGCCTCGTTGTCCAGCAGGAAGGACTCATCCGAATTCTCCACCAGCTGATGGAAGCTGAGCACGGCATTGTAAGGCTCCACGACGGTGTCGGACACTTTGGGAGAGGGAATCACAGAGAACGTCTCCATGATTCCTTAGCCATTCATCATCCAATGCTGCAGCTTTCACAAGGACATATTAAGAAAAGCAAGCGGCTGTCTGGATACTCCTCAGGGTTGGACTGACTGCTTGTCTACACATCTGATATCCCATTACCATACATGGATTGACGGAACATGATCGGAGGTAGGCACTATCGGTGCAAACACCACTGGTTGGGCAGAACGAATCCACTTTGGAAGGCAACCAGTTCCAGAAGCAAAGAGCACTGATCCTAACTCCACCCGCGGTAAGCTTCCGTTATCAACTCAGCCCTGGTATGGATTCTAGATGGCTCAGTAGCCCGTACTTTTGCCTTACCCTTATCGGTGGTTTGGACTGGTTTGGCGCGCCAGACCACCGCTCCTCACGCACCTTGGAGATCAGCAAGGTGCCCATGCCCGCGCCCGTGCCTCCACCAAGGGAATGGCACAGCTGGAAGCCCTGCAGGCAGTCGCAGCCCTCGGCCTCCTTTCCTTGGCGTCTCTTCAAGAGGGTTTCCACTGCCTCCAAACCGCTACCCAAGGGGAAATGTTGGATGTGTAATCTGCATTTGACAGGTATATAGTGGGAAGACTCGCGAATATTGATACTGTATCTCACTTTTGCCCAGTGGGTAACGATTTGTGATTGACTGCAATACTGAGGTACTGAGGAAATCAACGGTATCCAAAACCGCGAAAGGATCTGCAAGGGCGGGTTCACTTACGCCCCACTCCCTCCCATCATGTTTGGTGTTGGCAAACGAGGCAAGAAACGGGACGCATTGGAACACCTGAAAAACACGGGTTCACCAGATTAATAAACCACTGATTGAGTAATAGGGGGGGCTCATTGCCTTTGGCGGGAACACCCCTCAATTAATAGGATGAGTGCTGGGCCCACTGGAGCCAACACAAAGAAAAAAGGGCGATTCAGCTTTCACAGAATCCCTCCTAGCCACAGGCACTGAGCAACACCAAAAGATCACCAGCGCAAAAAGTTGGTTCCCAAATTAGGGAGTCAAGAAGGTGAACTCCTTCTACCTTGTTCAGACCAAACCGCAGCATGCGAAGGGACAACAGCCCCCCTCCCCTCCGACAAAACGAAAAAGCTAAAGAAAAAAACAGCCTAAAAAGGCTGGGCGCAAACCCAAGCCTCCCCCCCACCCACCCATAGCCAGAGCAGCGCACCACGTCAAGGACTGAGTCGATGAGCTCGGCCCCTTCCGTGTAATGGCCCTGATGCTTCCAATGGGCCAATGGCAGTTGGGTGTGTTGAAAAATCGAATTCGACAATTGGGCCTAAAGCACCATTCAAAAGGAAGGTCCCCTTGTTGGAATGACTCCCAAAACAGAATTGGAACCCCTGAACAATGACTGCATTCCTGTCAGTTTCACTTAAAGCAGCATCCTCAATGTCAACAGTGCGATGTTCAGCAGCGGTAGGAGACCCACCTCCCAAGTTGTTAAGCGTGTTTGCTGGTGATTAAGAATTCAACATCGATTTGGGGTCGTTCGCGAAGCGCAACCAAAAGGAAACACACAATGTTGCAGGTGCTGTAGTTGGAGCGTATTTATTTCCAACCCTCAAACTTGACACCACCAAAAGGAATGTTACTTGCAGCTTGCGACCAACAGGTTACACTTAAATCAACGCAACGAACAGAATGCTCAAACTACTGATACAGGGTGTGCAGGGACCCTTGCAATTGTAGATGGGTTAAAACGCTCATCAGGTGGGAATCAAACAGTAAATCCTTCAGCTGGCTCTTTGAAGGAACATTATCGTTCTCACGTCTTCAAGCCGGCTTGGTCTTTGACCACTTGCAAGAAGATAATGTTAGGGAACAAGCATGTCGAAAGCGTTGAGTTGACTGCGGCCAATCAGCAACCAAGCAAGCAGAGACAAGCCTTCGCCCAGTTGTTGCCAGCACCGGTCTGTCCAAAGACAAAGTTGTCCGGCCGGAAGAGCTGGCCAAAGGGCCCCGCGCGGACGCTGTCCATGGTCCCCGGCTCCTTAGCAGCAATTCGGGGTAAAGGCGAAAATCAGGCATCTGGCAAGATCCGAGCGTTCGCCTTCCCTTCTTGTTTCCTTTCCAGGGCAGTGAATCATATATGGGTATTCTGGCACACAAACAAACAAAATGCCGATTGTAGGCCACTATACCTCTTCCCTAAACACTCATTTTGGGTTCCTTCTTGAGGGTGAATTCCTGTTGTGCCAAAGGAATGCCATTTTGGGCGGACGAAAAAGGTGACACAAATGCATGGCGCCAGGTGTCCAAGTCCATTAGCACAGCACGGGGCACATAGCGGCCGCCAGTTGCCTCGTTGAAGTAGACGTTGATCCTTGCGAGACACGAAAGGGGCGCAAGTGGCTTTCGGGGGTGGCAGGGGGGTGGGGAAGGGATGAAGGGAAACAAACGCGCAAAGTTCAAAAATGTGTGTGTATATATATATATATATGTATATAAATATATACATATAGCGACATTGAAATAAACATGCGCCAAAATAGTGTGTCAACATATGTGTGTGTACGGCAATGAACATGTAATGTCATGTAATGTCATGTAATGTCCAATGCAATGTAATACCATGTAATGCAACTCAATGTAATACAGTACAGTACAATGCAATGCAATGCAATGGAATGTGATGCGATGTAATGCCATCTTGCAGCACTTGTGTGGCAAAGAAACTGAGACCTACAGTGCTGCAAGGGTCATATGTCCTACCCAATCCTTGTACCGTTCGACAACAAATCAAGTTACGTTACTCAGCAACTACAACATCATCATGTACGCGTATATGTCTAATACACACATACTTCCACCCAAACATGTCAAGGGGAAATCCTGGCAAATGAGCCACTGCTATATTTGATCCAAGCAGGAAAATATATAAAGGACCCCTGACCACTGTGCAGGCGCAAAAGGACAAAGTGCAGTCGGAATAATGCAATCGTACAATCGCGGGGATACTGCATTGCTTCACTTTGTGGTGTCACCCGCATCGAGGTATGGAAGAAACAAGAAGTGGTCAGCCACCATCTTCGAAAGCTGCCAAATGGCCTGGTTTGGGGACTTGCGCTTGTCTCAAAATGTGGGTAAGCCAAATTTGGGTGCTCCTGTTGAAGCAGATAAACAAAGGACGCGTCAAAAAAGACAGAGCCACTTGTTGGTCAACTTCAAATGCCTTTGGAAGGTGCTGGAAGCCTGTTTTACAAGCACTTCGGCTGAATGCCGAGGCTCCGCTCCAACTGCAAGTCGGAATCGCCGTGGTAGGTGCCTACAGTCGGCGAAAGCCCATAAATGGCAGCCTCCTTTTCGAACAATGCTTGTGGACCCCCACTTAAAACTGGTTGGCTGTTCAAGGACCACCCTCCTCCGGGTCGGACACGCCCCCTTTTCGGACGAATCACACATGCAGCCTAGGAAGACCGCCTCAGGCTTTCGGAACCAGCAAGCCTCGCCGACCCCAAGCCCCAGCCGATTGGTTCAGAACCAGCCCGTGCCTGCCTCGTGAGGCCGGCCTCCCCCATGAAACGGCGTTCTGCTACGGTGCGTTACGCATTGAGAACCCTCGAACTGCAAAGACAAATAAATCTTTGCCTGTGGGGTCAATGCCGTGCTCGTCCGCAATCACCTCCCAGAACTTCGCACCAATCTGGTTGCCGCACCTGCAGTTAGACATTTGAGAACGTCTCTCAAAACCATCCGGACCCCCTTTGCAACGGTCTAGAGGAAGCTAGGAACAAAAGTCAACTCCTGGAAAGGGCCTCCCTTTCTCAGGCTGTGTTTGCACCAGTGTTGCTCTCGTCCACTCAGGTAATGCACTAAAGGCACTGTCCACCCTGCACGTGCACGAGCTCACGCATCTTGGGTAAGAGGCTGACAAGCAAGGAAGGAAGCGACAAAGGTTTGAGCCGCAGCTTGCTCGCGCGCGAGTGGTCAGTGTGGTCCTCCCAAACAAAACATGTGAGACATCCATTGAAAATCCCCAGAGTAACCCGAAACGTACTGGGGATGGTAAAGGCCAACAGGCTCTTGGGGGCCTTTCTGAAGCTATTCGAGTGGAGAAACCGTTCAACCTGTTGGCCAACAGAAGTTTCCCCATCGACCCTGGCGCACTTTTTGAGGTCGGATAGACAGCTTGAACCCTCCACTTATCTTCACTCTGTTTGGGCAAGAACTACTCTGTGGTTTCCTCTCACTGCAAAAGTGACAGTCGCAGAGAGCAAGGGCTCAGCAGTTGGGGTTGGGTGTTCTGGAGATGTGGAGCGGCTCCAAAGAAGTCCTTTGAGTTGGTGCATGTCGGGCATGCCCTCAGAACCGCGCCTCGCCCAAAAGGAGAAGCTTTTGAGTCTCGAGGCGTTGCGTGGGTAGCAAATGACCCCACGCCCGAGGTTCGTTGAAGCCACAGGCATCAGCTACGGACGAAACCCTTCCGGGCGAAACCCTTCCGGCTTGCCGACAGGGAACCCACTTGACCATGCCGTCAAACCCGGTTGGGCTTCATGAAAGGATTGCCACAAGATGCCAAGCGGGTTGGGAACATGATCGATCCGTCTCTTGTGAGGACACAAATGCCCACCCCCCTCGAAGGGCTTCTTCTTGGTACTCGAAAAGAATGGTTGCTATGCGCAGGAGTCACTGGATCTCCCCCTCAAAGCTTGCAACTCACTGGTGGTCTCCATGAAAACGATCCAGGTTCCAAGAATAATAAATCAATAGGAAACCGCCCACCCCACCCCACCACACCCCACCCCACCCCACCCCACCCCCCACCCCACCCCACCCCACCCCAAAAACCCCACCCCCACCCCCCCAAAAAACCCCACCCAACAGCCCAGGTGGTGCCAATCCCCGGGCCCCGGGCCAGGGTTCAGCTCCTCAAAGAGCACCTGGCCACTCACCGTGTCCATAGCCTTCAGCTTCCTCAGAGAGCCCCAGGCGGAACCAGCAGCACCCCCCCAGGGGGGCCCTGAGGGGAAGCCTGTTGAGGGTTGCCTGTTCTGGTTTTTATGTTCATCTCAAATCTGTGTTCCCCCTTATTCGTTTTTAAAAGAGGGTTTTTAGGGAGCTTATTTATCGTTTTCGTTAAGGTAATCATTTGGGTAAATCGTCGCCTTGTTCATTGTTGGGCTGGGGGCCGACATTTTCTTCATTTGAAAGAGTTAACCCTTTTAGTAGTTATCAAGTTCTGAGGAGTTGGTGGTGTATTTGTTTTGTTAGTATTTTTATCAATAATTTTATTTTATAGGTTAAAAGTGCGCTATAATTATAACATATAAGATTTTACATGTTATAATTATGGTTTAGTTATGAATTACACAGGTTCATCAACCATTAGTTTAAACCTTATGTTTTGTACTCCTTCAAAATTCATTCTACTTCTTGCATCTTCCATACGACTGTCTATTGTTTGATGCGCCACTCTCATTACATCAGCTATATTATCTATGGTTATATTATCTACAACATCATCACTACGAAAATAAAAACTAAAAGTACTAAACTTATTGTCTTCATAATAATTGAAATGATGAAACCTTACAAACATATTTACCTCAACTATTATAACTTCTCCATAACTGTTATCGGTTTCAATGCCATCTAACAAACAACCTAAGTTTTCATGTTCATTAAAAACTATATCTTCAATGCTTTTAATGCTTAAAGGTTTATTTCTTGAAATGTAATACTCAATTACGTGTCTCTTTATATCATCACCACCTACAGCAGTTCGACGCTTTGTCTTTCTTTTTGTTTCTGTTCTGTTTATTTTATATTGTTGTTGTATTCTCTTTAATGTCTTAATATGATTATGTTTTATTTTCAAATACTCAGGTTCCCCTAATTTATATGAAATGATACCTTTTAATACATCAACAGGTAAGCTATCACAATTCTCAACCATAAAATTATTATCTGACATTTTACCCCCACTCATTTTTCTCTTAATATATAAGGTTTTTTCTCTTTAAGTAGTTTTGGCTAGGGGTTGCTGGTCGGCTGGTGTGGGTTTCAGGTTTAATTTAAATGTCTTAACCTTCTTTTTAGATTATAAAACAATGTTTAATCATATTATAAGATAATAATATTAATAAACAAAAGTTAATTTGACCCGAATTCAATCTCACCAGCGATACAACCACTATAACAACTCATACTATACTCACAACAATAATGCTCGTATCCTTTTATTAATTGGTCTATGTAAATTTCAATTATTTCGCTAAGAATATGTCTCAAATAATAATTGTTATTTCTATATGACCACGAACTGTTTAGGTTTGGAAAGCTAAACCCACAACGTTTAAAATTTTTTGAATCTTCAATGTCAAGACATTTTCTTAAAATGATACAAACTTCATGTTCATTATTCTTACAGTATGATTTTAATGCTTGATAATACATTTTTCTATTTTTAAACCGTTCTTTAACTTCTTGTACATCAAATACTCGGTCAATGTGTTTTCTGTAATGTCTTAATTTTATACTATATTGGTTTTCTGCTAGTAGTGTAAAAACATTATTTTGCATTAGTTTAATAACTTGTAATTGAAGTTCTGCTTTTTCCAGTCCTTCTTCAGGAATGTCTTTATCTCTCATAAAATGTTCTTCTTCATCCATCAAATGCCAGCAATCAAAACATGTTACTCTAATATAACCACCTATAAGATTACAAACATCAGCAGGTAAAATATTAACTAGTGCTACGACAGACTTACATTTTTTATTTTTACAAGGACAATTATCATAATTAAATAGTGTCATTTTCTCTTAATATAATAAGCTAATATTTCTTTAAGTAGTTTTTTCTGGGGGCTGGGGTTAGGAGGGTTCGGGTTCTGGTTGATTTTGCTTTAACCATTCCTGATGTTTTTTAGTTTTAATATGTTTGCTCATATCTGCTTTTCTTGTAATTGACCCACACTCACATTCAACTGTTTCTTTTCTTTTTTCATTCAATGCAACTTTTCCTGTCTCATAAAGTTCTCTTCTTCTTTCATTTACTTCTTCTTTCTTTTCTTGGTAATGGTCTCTTCTTCTCTCATTAATTTCATCTTGATGTTTGTAATAACTTTTCCGTGCTTGTTCATTTACTTCGTCATTAAATAATTCTCGTTTTGTTCTTGCCCTTTCGGCACAGTATTCCTTATTATTTTCATACCATTCTTTTCCTATTTGACTTAATCTTTCCTTATTGTCCTCACGGTATTCTTTATGTGTTCTTCCTTCTATCTTTTTATTGACACAGTCATTGTTCTTGATATGAATGCCTTCTTGTCTCTGAAGCATTGATTTACTATCACTTGGAAAATGTTCTATTAACTCAATCTTACAATTTTCAATACCAAACTCATCAAACAACAAAACAACATTTGTATGTTTCTTTCCAGTTCTTAAGTATTGCTTGTATTTGTCCCTATGCCTTACCATTCTCATACATAAACATTCACAAGTGCTTCCTATATAACATTTGTTATAACCGATATCTGTTATTTTGTAAATCTTACCATTTTTATAGCGGTTTTCCATTACTATCTTTTCTTATCATTTCTTTATAATAATTTCTTTCTAATTAATAATATAATGGCAAGAAGATTAACAAAAGACGAGGTTATAAGTAATGTTTATTACAATCTGGATACTGGTTATGGTAGTATTCAAGCAACTCACAAGAAGGCAAAGGAACAAGACCCAACAATAACCGTAGATGATGTAAATACTTTTATGAAGAAACAACCAAATAAACAAATCAAGAATTATAAAGGCACTAATTCATTCACAGCACCTTTTGCCCGTTATGAATACCAATGCGACATAATGTATATGACACCACTTGTTAAGGATAAGGACACTCCAATGTATGCGTTGGTGACCATTGACATTTTCAGTAAACTGGCGGATGTAGTGCCAATGTTTAATAGAGATGGGGAGAGTGTTGTTAAGGCGTTACGCCAAAGCTTCAACAAAATGGGTTATTGCATGAGTTGCTATACAGATGACGACGGAGCGTTTGCAACTAAAAATCAAGTTCAGGATTTCTTCAACAGTGAAGGAATAAACCACATCGTCACGAAGACCCACGCAAATGTGGCCGAGCGTTTTATTAGACCGATGAAAAACAAAATTCACGATAGAGTTAGGTTTAACAACATGAAATGGACCGACGCCCTAACGCCGGCATTGAAACAGTATAACAGCACATCACACTCATCAACAAGGATGACACCGTCTGAAGCACACAAGGACGACAATGAAATAAATGTAAAGGTCAATCTTAAACTACGAGAAAAAACAAAAGAAAGTATCCCAAAATAGAGGAGAACGACAAGGTAAAAGTGTTCCAAAAGAAATGGGGTAATTACACCGACAGAAAGGAGTATAACTCTAAATGGTCTAATAAAATATTCAATATCGATAAAATTGAATATGATATTATGGGTAATAAAACTTACAAAGTAGCAGGAATAAACAAACCGCTTTTGAGACACGAAATTTTGTTGGTTAATGATTAAACGTATTTCTTGGTGTCTTCTTTATACTTGACTTGATAGTAATCCAGACTTGATTGTTTAGGTTCTTTTATGATTTTTTCATTCAGTTTTTTAACATAAATGTTTCGTTTATTTTTGTATTCGCTACTGTCTCTATCTACTTCTTTTGCTTGATATTGTTATTGTTATCATATGTAGGTTTAATATTCAAGCTCTTTAAGATTTTCAGTATGTTTTCATTTTGCTCCAACACTTTTTCTAATCTTGGAAACAACAACTCTAAACTACTGTCAATGTTCGCTAAATGTTCCTCCATATATACTAAATTATAAAACTAAACTTTTAAAACTAAATGTTGCAATTATGTTAAATCTACTCTTTAAATACTAATTGTTCATTATTTGTTTAACAGTTTCCTGAGTTTC